CCAGCAAGTGTACGAGTGCTTAGCAAACAGTTTGTCAAAAAGTACTGCAAGGTATCTATGGACAAAAGTGATAAGAAGATAACTGTAGAAATGATGAAATAGATGTTTGAGTCATTGCTCAAATTTGAGGAACGTGTTTGTTTAGTAACAAGTGACATTGATTTCTTGACGGATTCAAGGTTATCTTGTTATAAAATAGCACGGCGCAAGATTTTATTGATAAAACATTGATCTTCACTGAAGAACTCTACTCTGATATTGTTATTGTCGCATTAGCTTTTATAATTTTCTTTAGTATTGAAGGTGGAATAATTGGTGATGGTCCTAAAGAAAGACGCGTGTCCCTATGTTTTGTATCCAATTATTAACTTTGGCTGAGTTTCTAATCTTTTTGTCATTCTTTGACCACCCCAATACCACTTCGTTTTTATTTAGTTTTTCTAGATTGTTTTTATTTACTTAAAGCGAAAAGAGAGACACAACTCGCGCTCCTTGTGCACTCACTGTTCCTATCAAATGCTTTGGCGCCATTTCCATCCTTTTGATTACAATTTCCTTTATTCTTTATATTTGTAATGATGCTGTGTTCTACCTTTTGATGATTCCTACCTTAATACGTATATTGAATTGAGGATTCACAGTAGTTTTTATAGTCAACTACTTCTGGAATTTTTTGCTAATCACACCCAACTTTTGGAGTTGTGATCGACAAACAATATGCTCATAAAGCAATATAAGCATATTAAAACGAGAGGTTCAGTCGACGTACAACGCATATATATGTTCTGGACATTAATCTCTATGTGATTTTTGATCATCCAAATTTTTACCCAAAGCGAGTTCAGATTTCAAACCTACGTTATACTAGCCATGGCTCCGCCTACATTATCGATGTCACTATTTAATGTTATGGACAACTAGACAAAATTACCTAAAACTATAAAAAATTGACAAGTAAGTAAATTTACTTTTCAAATAATTGTATATTTTTTACAATTTTTAAATTGATTACTTTGTTAAACTAAAATTTAATTTTAGAAATTATAATGTGCATAAAAGTGTGGTTTCCATTTTTATAAAATAAATATTTTGGTGATTTATATTTGTTTTAGTTATAATTATGAAAGTTAAAATTTAAAAGGTTCATTTAAAAATAAAAAATAATTATTATATAACAGATAATGCTATTATGTCTATGGTAGAAAATATTAAAAGTAATAAACAAAAATAAATTGAAATATATTTACCTTTATAGAGACATTTAAATTTAAAAATAGTAACAAATCAAAAATAAATTTAGAGTCCAAATGTTTATGCTAAGACCATCTCAAATGAAATACCAAAATATTAAATTTTATGTAACTCGCTAACAAAAAATTAAAATTAACATTATTCACCAAATTTAGTGTGATGTAAATACTATTATATTACATCAAATCCTTAAAATATATATATTTTATTATGTTTTCTTTAATAATATAGTTTAACTAATATCAATTTGTAACTAATTATATGTATTATACTATTTGTATTTAAATTTACTTTTATTTAATTATAGACTAATTTTTATGTTTTCAAAATAAATCATTAAATAAATATTATCAAATAATATATAATATTTTATTAATATTCTAAACCTGATAAAGTAATTATTAAAATAAATTTTAAAATTAAAATTAAATATTTAAAACTGAAAAATAAAATAATATATAATATTAATGAAGTAAGATTTTGTGTAATTATTGATGTTTATAAAAACGTTATTATACTAAAATATCAAGTTTGATATAATTTTAATTTTAATTTCATGTTATAAATAGAGATGCCTTAGAGAACGTTTGAATCGTGAGTGATACTACTACAAAAACTCAAAAAGAAAGTTTGAGATCTGATTTTTTTTTAAAAAAAGAGAGTGTGAGATCTGCTAAAACAATTGAAAAATATATACATGTTTTGGTGGCCGCACATGGTTACATGGTTGCATGTAAACCGCCCACACGTGTCAGCCACTATGCACACGTGTCTTCTGCATGCTGCGTTATCCCATTGTCTATCTCTTCACCCTGCATCATTATCGTGTTTTTAACAATTATATATGTTCCTTAAATTATTGTTTCTACGCGTAACATTATTTTATACCAGTTAACCTTTATATATGTAACTTCTATTGTATGTTCTTTGAGATTTTTTTTTAATATTTAGTTTTGTGTTGTATACTATATTATTAAACTGCATGTATAAGATCATGACATCAAATGCGCTCATGGATACGATTTCATTTTAACAGGACATTATAACATAGGTGCAAATAGACAGGACGCATTCCATAAATATGCTTTTAACTTTTATATGTTTATCTAACTACAACAGTTCAACTCGTTCAAAGCTTAAGCAAAAAAAAAAAACAGTTCCTTCTTTTTTGTCAACTTTTGATTGAGCACGATTTTGCTCTCCAGGGTAACGTCATGAATTTCGGTGCATCACGTGTTCAATTACCATAGCATTTTTCCTTATTAGTACTATATTAAGTACACTATTATTTGTTCTATTATCTCATAGTAGTATATGCCATCTTTTCCACTGAAAGCGGTCGAGGCCTGTAGTTTACCAAAAAGGAAGAAATATCTAATACAATGTGCGGTCAAAGAATGCCAAACCACAAGTTTATTTTAAAATTTTAGAGCAACATAAATATCATATAACTAATTAGTTAGAGCAATATTCCAACAAAGCAGATCACTGAATCGATCGAATATCGATCGAAGTGGAGGCATAAAATACCTGAACGGCTGTCGTTTACTTTCCGACTAATTAAGCGACCACACTGTACGATTAATTATAATGTTAAGCTCCCTAATAAAAATAATTTATGTCGATCTTTTTTAACAATTACAGTGTATTATTGTCATCTTGCTAGTTTTAACTCAGATGTTACATAAAAAGGAAACGTAGTAAAATAAATGCTTTATTTCATGGTTACTCAGCCAATTTTCCTTAAAAAAAGAAACAAGCCTGTATGTAATTATTTTTCAGTGAGCTTGAGATTTTATTTTCGTTAACGTAATATCAGTTTACTCAATAGTAAATATCACACCGATCTTTTCATGATATCATGTGGTATGTTAAAGAATGAAGATATCAACCAACAAAACGTACTTTATAAAGATGCGCATTTCATGTTTTCCCATAGTTTTAGATATCTAATAAAACTAAATATGTGATCAGTTTTCAGTTCCAACTTGAGATAGTTTTAGGAAGGAATATACGAGGTGTGAGAAAAGCAAATTAAAAAGTTACAAAAAGATGTTCGACCAAAAAAAAGTTACAAAGATATAAGAAGAAGAAAAAAAAAAGTGAACAACAAAATTTCGCCGAAGAGTTCGGCGCCGAAACATTTTGTTATTTTATTTACAGTACATGTTTTCTTTTGTCAACACAGTCACAGTACAAGTTTTAAAATGTTGTAAAAATAAATGCATGTTTGAAAAAATTATTTCTGTCATGACTATAAATTCTGAAGAAGATATCTGCAGCTAATTTATTCTACTGAGCTATCAAAACGCACCTTACTACCGGTTGCAGAATCATAGCGGGTTTCATATCATGTAACTTTTTTTTGTCAACACATATTATGCAATTGAATTTTCCAAAAAATGTAAATCTCATTTATTTTGTTTGAGATGTAAACAAAATAAAAAGTGGATATAAAATGGGTCGGCTTTAGAAAAGCTACATCAAATCATTCCCCACGTTCGCTTTGTTATCCTACTATTTCGTTATAATTGCAGATAATCGCATGATACGTTCAGTTTTGTCTTTTTTTGACTTGGAAATATTTGTATAATGCATTTGCTTTTGCCTTTTGCTGCTTATTGGACAATAAAATAGGCGTTTGTTTGGAGTACTCTTATCAAATATGACGAGTCTTTTATTTTGGTCCGCCATTACCATAGTAGTCATAAGCTAATAGAAGTAGCCCGACGACATTTAGCGTTATTGGAGTACATCGCAACATCTATTTCTGATTCTACCGGTTTATTATAAGCTTATCTGATTACCGGCACTACATAAAGATATTTTATAGTCTCTGATCCATCTCATATGGGCTTAAAGAAAGAGCGGCCCATCGTTACAGTGCCATTAGATTTGCTATCTACTCATCTACATGTTATATTCGTTGTGTCTAGTGATCTGAATAAGCTTAGAGCAGCTCCATGGCTGGAGATATTCTCATGGGTGTCTTATCAAATACAGTATTGATGGTTCAAATATAAATCGATTAATCAAATGAGAAAATTTGAAAACACTCATGACATATAGGCAACTAATAAGTAAACTAATAAGTAAACTTACTCAAATAAATAACGATTATCATTCTTTCTCATTTCTTTTTGTTTTCATGTAAATAATAAAGAGATACCGACTTAAAAACCACTAACCAGCAATAGAGGCTTTATGTATACACTTTTATACTCCATGAACATCTACTGTATTTTGTATGCATGAGGTCCTTAATATTGGTGAAAAATTAGGGGCCCGAGGCTCATGCCTTTTTTGTGCAACGATTAAAACTTAAAAGTGTTATTTCAAAAAAAAAAAAAACTTAAAAGTGGCATTTATGACAGAAAGAAAATAAAAAGATTAACACCGAACAAAGTTACAAACTACTGAACTTGAATAAAAATTCACACCGTTTGTTTAACCATTTCAATGTATATTATAAATGTATATTATAAAGTATCATAGATGAAAACTTGACTACGTGGAAGCTAAAGTATTCATCACTTCATCCGTCAAATAAGCCTAATCTTAACATCTACACCCGAAAAGGCCTATTAATAAAGAGAATGGTAACAATAAGTTAATATTTGAAACAAAAATAGTATTGAAAAATAAGAAAATAGTCAGATCATTTCTGACGTAATCTATATAACTTTTCATTTTTATACTTGTAATCTAACTTCTAATTTGGTACAATACGATAATTCAAGAGAAGAACTCTAACGAAAACCGGTACGAGTACTCTTTAAATTCCGAGGTGGACCGCCGCTAAACCATTGACGTGGTGCTGCCTTTACCAATCTTCGATCTTTTGAGGAAGATGATGATGATGAAGAAGAAAAAGAGCTCGACATGTAATCCTCAGACTCCTCAACTCTCTCCGATTCACCACAAGAGCTTGAATCACCGTGACGAGCATTCTTATAGTCTGATATATGGATCATACGTACAAATGTTAATGTATATTATAATTTACATATGTAGTATATTTATTAGAAACATAAACTTTTAGATGAATTTTAAAATGACTAAAGGATATATCGGTAACAATATATAAGTTATGATTTACATAATAGAAAAATAGATAACTTAAGATTTTTACCAATTATACAATTTTACGATATGCTATTACCTGATTCTGCAAGATTAGTTGACAAAGATACATAACATTACACAAATTCTATGTGATTCCGCATTTTAACAGGATTATTTTATTTTCCACATTCCTTTCATATTGCTATCAATCAAAACTTAATTTGAAAGATAACAAATATTTCTCTTGCACTTAATTATAAAAGCAATATACTATATACTTTGCGAATTATAAGTATTCATGTAACATATAAAAGTTCTAATAAACGTAACGATTAATTACCTCGACCAAGAATGCTTTGGCTTGACCATTTAGAGAAATATCTATTACGAATATTCTTCCATTTCCATAGCTTAAGATTCGCCGGAAAAAGAGAATGTTTATCTAATACTCCGAAGGAGGGTTTAGTGAGGCCACGGCTGAGAAGCGCCGGAGGAGGAGTAAGCGGAGGAACTATTTCTTCCGGCTTAGGATTAATCGGAGTTCCTGGATGCATCTCCCACTTGAAAGGAACTCCGTCGTTGAGACTCCTATGATGGTAATAATAAAAGATTCTAGAAGAGACTCCAACCGATGAGTTTCTTGAAATCTCTGACCCTCTCTTGCATAGATTATCTTCCATCAATAATAACGAAGCTTTTGGAGTTGAAGCTGTGTTATTGTGTTCTTGATTCATGATGGATGCTAGTTTGTATAGATAGAGAGGATAGATATGAGATATATGTGAGATGTTTATTATTATGCTCGATGAATCACAGAAGATATGAGACGTGAGATATATGCGGATAATATAGAATGAAATAAAGTGTATATATGATTAAGGAAAGAGACAGATATTTTCCCGAGTAAACGGGGTAAGAAAAGATATACATATTTATATATTAAGGTTAACGAGTTGACTATGTGAATCTTAGGCGCATATTACATGTAACGAGTTTGATGACAATTTATCAATTTAATAATTAAGGATTTGACTTTATATTATACAAACCAGCTGTATTGCTTATTGAGTTATTGCTTTGGTGACTTGGTTGCTTGTGCACATGAAAACGTAACTACACCATGAACTTTATTTCTTATCATTGTAACCGGATTATCCTAAATGCATCAAAGTTAATCCTAATACAATATAATATTTTTAAATTATTTTTTTTATAAATTAATATACATTAAAAAATCTCTATAAAATAATATAATTTTACAATCAATTTTATTTTAATTAATATATTGATAAATTAGTAATCTCTATAAAATAATAAAAAATATAATTTTGGTATAATCTAACATTATTAATTTATATAAGTTCCATTGTAGTAAGTGTGTTTTAGTGATTTCATTGAGTGAGTTAGAAAATAAGATACATAAGAATAGAGATTTCCATTTAATGCCATTTGTTTTTTCAGCATTTATATAGCAAAACCTAATATTTGTTGTATAAACAAAATATTTAAGAAACTCAATTAGAAGAAATAAACTATTACTATCGAAAACACTTATTGTCTATCCTTTTCCATCCGGGAAATACTGCGGTAAATCGCTTTACAAGGAAAGCTTTTAATGTTTTAAATGGTATCATCCAAATAAATATTTGATATTATAGTTTTTGTGTACGTGTATGACAGTATGTGTTAAACTCTTTATATGCATGTATAGTTGTTGTTTCTTTGTTAAACTATTACTTTATTCTTCCCTTTTCGAATCTATAGTTAGATTACTTATAATATGAAGCGCACGTTAATGCAGTCGAAGGACGGTTTGAATTCATATGCGCATGTGAGGCAAATAATCGTCCCTTAAGAGACGCCAAACTTTGCGTACTCCTCAATTTCATCAAAAGAAGACTATTTTCTCGTTAGGCCTGTGACCCATTTGGATTGATCATTTCAGCCAATTACTATAACTGAGTCCATTTATTACGGAAAATATACGAATTAGTTATGCCTAATCAAAAAGAAGTTATAATCACATAACCACGCAACCGAGTATGTTATGTTTTGTTACGAACAGAAACTTGTTATGGTTGCACTAGAACTAAAGTACTGGTTATAAGCTTTCTTTGGTGGAATCCCTTGGTCAGTGCAGTAGTTTGATTAAAGTTCATTAATGTTTCTATACAAAGAGATTTAAGTTTCAAATCCTATAAAATGCAAATTATACAGAGGTTTACAGAAGATTTTATAGTCAAACATGCATCCTCCTAATATAAATAGAATTGCCAACTATAGAATCATCTTTGTTAACTTTTTTAAAGTTTGTAAATCTGTATATAATTAACCAACGTAAAAAAAAAAAACTTTCACTGAACTAGTGTATTCTACATCGGTTCTAATGAGATATAAATCTCTTATGATCAAAGCAATCAAGACAATCACACTTAAGATCTGCAACGTCGGATCTTAAATTTTGAGGACTTGCAATTATTAAAAATTTCAGTAACTTTTTTTCATACTTAAAGAGTTTATAACTATGTATAGATAGGTAAATAATTCGTGCGATGTCGATGTCACACAGAGACTCATTTTATAAAAATAAATATATCATATTGTATAGCTTATATTTTTATAAAAATACTGTTTATTTTTTTCAACGAAGTATTTGTAGATTACATGTGTCTATATTCATTTATAAAAGCTACTAAAAGTTTATAATGGTTTTAAAATTTCAGATCAATACTAATTTAAATATATATCTTATTATTACTTAGTAAGTTATTTGAAATTATAAATACAATTTAATATATTTAAAACTAATTAAAAGAAGAAACACATTTAAACCTAATCATTTATTAAACTAATAAGGCAAATTATAATGATGAATATGACATTCATAATTTATTTGAAACTATGTAAATATATATATATATATAGTCAAAATATGATTACATGACAACGTTAAGAAATTTTTTTCACTAACATGTTTTTTTTTGGGAAACTACATATGCATTTTTTTCATTATTTGTATCTTTTATCAAATGATATTTTTCTTATATCAGTGTTCGATACAACTATGCAACTACAAAATCTCTATTTTCTATAGAAATTTGGACAACTCATATATCAAAACTCTTTAATATTCAATTTATATCAGTGTTAGATGCAGCAGTTATGCATAAATACAAAATTCTATATTTTTCTATTTTATTTTGAAAACTGTGGGTTAATCCCTATGTAAAGATCAATTTTTTTCTGATAAATACTATTTGTACTTAAGTTTATCTTCTTTAGTGTTGTTTAAAATATCTAACGATATTAAAATTTATACTAATACGCAAACTTGGTTCTATTTTTAAACCCAAAAAATTAGTTCTATCCTGACCTCTAGGCTATAGCCATCCTGAAAAGTAGATCAAACAAATACTGTGTTATGAGTAGTTACTGACTGGGCAATCAATCATCTGACCTAATAAACTAGAAACATTCAATTATCTAAGAATATAAACGAGAACTTAATGTAATCCTTTTCCTTTTTCATTTCATGTATACGTTGAGCTTTGACTTGCTATTCGTATATTGGAGAAACATGGGCCCACACCGTTTTAGTTGGGCCTTCTTGGACGTAGCCCAAGTGGTTTTATGTTTTGAGACTAATGTAGATGCACACGTTGACAAAATGATCAACATTGTTTGGTTAGAAATAGACCAAAACGGCGAGAAATTGTCTGGTTGTTATTAAAACTTTTACTTACTATCGGGGAGTGGAATAAGCAAACATTAACGTATGTCTGTAGAATCGAACAAAACAAAAATCGAGACAAATTAATTTACAAGATAAAAATAAATTTGGTAAAAGTAAGTAAATATTAATGTAAACGAGGTAAGTTTCAAACATTTTCCATAACTCCCATGTCGGATCTTCGAGGCGTCTTCGAATCCCGAGTTGAAAATAAATGTATTTCATCTACATTTATCACCATGGTTATTACGAAATCGTAAATTATTGGTTGCTTCAAACCTAAGAAAATATGCTTCTTGTGCTTTGTTTTTATGTCTTCTTGGGGTTGCTTAATTAGCTCATTCACCTATGGCCTGTTGGATTCACTCCCTAAAAACAACACTTATGCATTGTAGGCTTGTAGCATAATTCCTACAAACATGTATCAATCAAGAAAACGTTAAGACTTTAACAACTTCACTATATCTGACGTAGATTACACTGACGTTTGGTTACAATCTTGAGTCCTTGACTCAAACTTTTTGAGTGTACGTATGCGATAAATGTAGAGAGTAGTTGGGTATGTGTGTGGCTATGCTATGGATGTATGAATTGGTGTGTATGTATGAGATATATGACTTTTGATGCTTGTCTACGTCTTTTTTTTAACTCTACATATTCCTGTCTGCTGGATAAGTATCGGTGTGTATGTATGTAATAAAAATGAGATGAGTGGGCTTCCGACCAGGCACGAGTCAAGGAAGCGAGGCGTTTGGCGACGGTAGCGCGGTCGTTTACAATTTATTCGATTCTGATTTCTATCATCATTTTATTTAGTACTTAATTTGGAGTTTTCTTGTTCATATCACATCTTTACATCATTCATCACATTATATTATATACATTGACTCTAAAATGATTATAAGATTTCCACAACGTATGCTTTCTTGTCAGCTTTTTCTATTGTCCAAGTAAATGAAAGTTAGAAGAAAAACTTTGGGTCCAAAATTGGTTAAAATAGGGTAACCTTACACAAACATATTTAGCATTTCCAGTAGAGTTCTTGTAACAGTGACAATAGTATTATGAATAAAAATGCACAAGTGAGAAGTAAGAACATTTCTACGTGAATCTAATTGTTTATTCAGTTATTAAATATTAAATTGATTGTTAATTACGGATCCATTGTTTAATGGGAAACCTAAAGAGCAGATGTACTTCAATTAAAACTCTTGAAAATTGTAAGACAATAATGAAAAAAAAAAACAAACAAATGAAAGACATCTTTTGACAATGCTCTTGCTCTTACACCTTCTCTGTTTATTTGACTATATATAAAAACATACATTCACTTTCACCAGAATCCCAGCACCACCCAATCAACAGTCTCTCTCTCTCTCTTTATCAACACACAAACACATGGAGACTTGGAGTTCCTTACATCGTTGTCTTCTCAAAGTTACAAATACCCAAACCCTAATCTCAATATGAACAATCTCAAGCCACAAAGCCAAGATTCTTCGAAAAGAAGGTTTCATCAAGACAACACAGCCACGCATCAACCTCGTGACACCACGACAAGAGCAACATCCCTCATGCCAAAATCTCTTTCAAAAAACCCTAATATTAGCTCAAGCTCTGGAGCCGCCGGGAGATTCCCAGGGTTAGGACTAAACGTCGAAGACGATCTAGTTTCATATTTGATTCCTCCAGTTACCGTTGTTCTCGAGGGACGTTCGATCTGCCAACGCATTAGCCTTGATAAGCATGAGAGTTATCAAACCTTGGCATTGGCTCTGAGGCAAATGTTTCTCGATGGGGCTGATTCGACTTCTGAAACGAACGATCTTAATCTGTCCAACGCCATTCCTGGCCATATTATTGCTTATGAAGACATGGAGAACGATCTTCTTCTCGCTGGTGATCTTAGTTGGAAGTAATATTCCTCTTCTCTTACCTAAGAGCATCCACATCAATGAATCTTCATTGATTCAATTGTTTATTATTAAAAAAATTTGATTTTCTTTTTGACTTTTTTTTGTAAAAAAAAAAAAAAAAAAAATTGACCAACCGCGGATCGCCACGTGTCCCGGGACCCGCGCTACAGTGATGAACCGAGTTCACCGCAGAGAGTCTGCGAGAGGCAGGTTCATCACTATTCCTTATTTTAATATTTTTTTTTTTTTGAAAACCGTGTGAACCCCCATCTGAATCCTTGATGGGGTGCTCTAACAAACTTATTTACTTTTAGTTATTTAGACCATCTTAAAACTATTTAAAACCTTATGAATTTTCTACGAAAACATATACTTAGATGTTCGTATTTTTGTTTAAAATATTAGTTTTATGAATGCTAAAGATGCTTATGCTCGTACATATATACATACATGTATTTCTCAAAAATATACGTGTGAGCGTTCATGCAAGACAGTCACACGCTCTTTTGTTTTCAATGAAGACACATACGCTTTTCTTTTTAAAAGAAAACTAATATCCGTCCATGTTTGGTTTACTTGATCTTTAACAGTTCTCTGATTTTAAACACATGTATAAATATTTGGAAGTTAATGAGAAACTTGGTTTGTGAGGGTACAGGGATTTTGTTCGTGTAGCTTAAGAGAATTCGAATATTGCCGGTGAAAGGGAACACAAGAAAGGTTAGAAGGAACGACTGTGTAGAAAGATACGTTTTGCCAACGATGTCAGAAGATGTTTGTAGCAGTCTATGTCGGAGGAGATTCTCAAAGGCTATTAATATTATTGTAAAACTCTCATCGTATACCTCATGGCTTTGGCATGTAAGCGCCAAACAAATATAATAAAACAAACGATAATTAGCTTTCTCACCGATTCATGATTATGACTTCTTATCATTACCTTGACGAAGCTTTTGTTATATCTCTTAATTAATGGAGGCAAATCCCACTCCTGTTCTGATGTGATCGGCATCGTCATGGTAAGAGATATCTAGTCGGGCACCATCACCACGATCTTGTGAGATCACCATTTTAACTATTTTGGGGTTTTGAATCTGTTAAGCAACCAAAATGCAGTGAATCAAATTTCTGATTTAATTAGATTAATACTTATCTATATGATTCTTTACTGAAATAATATATTCTTGGATGATACAAAAAGGCATAAATAATTATCTCAAAATATGTATAGTAATTTAAATATATAAACTAAAGATATACTATAAACTAAATAATAAATCAAGTGAATTAAATAAAATTATTAATAAACAGTTAATATGAAAAAAATCTACATGATTGGTCTTTATCCAACATTTTTTCTTCTACCTTCGTAGATTAAGAAATTACTGTCTAAATTAATCGGCCGATCAACTCTTATTTTTTTTCTTCTGCATTTTGCTATTATTTTATTATTTTGTTTTCTCCTAAATTCATTAAAAAATATTTTAGCGGTGATCTTATTGGAATCTTCGGAGGAATTGTTCTAACGCCCATTCAGTCATTCACGGTCAAGCCGCTCGCTTCTCCAATTGTTAAATAACGATAGTACCTTTATAGCGATTCACATATCTTATTTAAGAAATTTCTTAGCATTTTCAAGTTAAAAGTTAAGAGATAAATTCTTATATTTCGATAAGAATTTCATCATAAGAATCTCCAATAAACATGTTCTAATTAAATTTTTCTGAAAAATTATATGCATATCCTCTATATCCACTTAGTTTTCAAAAGTCAGAATGATTTTAAAAATCTATTTGAAGAAATTGGATACTCCGTATTTTTTACTTAGTCAACGATGATATTATAATTTGCGAGGGGCTAAAATGAAAGGTCAACATATAGCCATTTTCCCATAAAGACCAATATTCCAATTCAGTACAATTACCTAATATCATAGCCATCATATCCATTGGACTAAAGTAGGCCAATGAACCACGACTCAATTGGAAAATTAAGGTAAGAGGATAACAAAGGATAAGAGGATATATGATGGTTGTAACTTGAAAATGTCTTGCTACAACGTTAAAAAAAAAGTATTGGTACAACGTAGAGAATTGGTCCAAGTCTTAAAAACAAGAATATTGCTTGCAAGTTTTTCTTTTTAAAAAAAACTTGCATTTAAACACAATCTTGCACCATGCGTACGTAGTCTAAGTCTAAGTTACTGAAAATGTATATTAAGTTCTGATATGTAATGATGGTGAAACCGGAACTAAGGTTAAAACGTTAACACTGATTCGAATCCGAATCTGCAAGTTAGGATTAGATGGACCACATTATTCTAAGGAAATATCAACGAAAGCTTGCAATAACAAATCCATCAAACGACATTAGTTACATCATCTCAATTTTGTCTCATGTGTCATTACATTCATAAATTACAAAATGTAAATGATTAAACGTGAAGCCTAACCACGAAAAAAATAGCAGGCCCCATCGTCAACCAAGACCCAACGAAAATATCTTATTATTACAACAAATGAACGAATAAATAATATTAAAACTAAGGTGACCTATAGTTGAAACTCTGATTATTACCCAAGTATTTAAGTTCCAAAGAGATTTGTCTCTCAATCTTAAGCTGCTTGTAGAAATTAGCTATAAACATCTCAGCTTTGTGGTCTATGTCTTCGTCTGAAGATGGATCGTAACTCCTGGCTCTATACAACGCTCCTCTTGAAGAACCCGCTGAGTCCGGTTCATTCTCCTCGGTACAAGCCGCTGCTAAACCTGGTCTTTCGTTGAAACTAAACCGAAGAGATGAGGAAGAAGAGGAAGAACCAAGCATTGGTACGAGACCCCAGAGGCTGTTTATCTTGAAACTTAACACGAATTTCACTTTATTAACGGCTTGTCTCAATCGGTTTAGTAGCGAGCCGTCTTTGGTCTTTGCCATGCCAACAATACAATACGTTTTCTCCTTTTTTTGTAAAAGTGATATCGATGAAATTTTCGCTTTGTTGTTGTTGTTGTTGTGTGTGCTCTTTTTGAAATATGATGGAATTGCAAATATGGGGTCTTATATAGACCTGGGCAATGTCGGCTGCAGCCTTAGCTTCTAAGCAAATTTTCAAAGAAAACTGTTTAACATATAGTTTTAAATACTATAATATGGGAATAGGAAACTGAATGGAACTTTACGTTCCAATATTGAGGCGTATCAGTATGGTATAGCGAGAGAAAATTAAAATTTTCTAAAAGAAAAGTGGGGTGCAAGTAATTCACATGCTCTTATACTCGAGTATATTATAATAGTTTATAACATCTTTTCCTTTTTTTGTTGCCCATTTGTTGAAGCTTTATTAGTAGTCTAATGGCTACTCGTTAATTACAAATCATTTATTTGTTTAAACTCTGGGCATGGAACTCCAAGGGTAATGATTTAGCACGGAACTAGCCAGTTATGAATTAACAATTGTTTTTCTAGACTGATTCAACGTCTAGAAATGAGGCCCTTGGTAATTTTCATATATTTTCTTTATTTGTTGCAAAATGTTTATCGAAAATAAGCTAAATAACCTTTCTTCAAAAAAAAAAAAGAAAAAAAAGAAGCTAAATAGAAAGGTTAAAAGGAACCAAAGAATGGTTCAGTCAGTCAAGGCGAAGACTTAGCTTTTTAATCGCGTTATTAGATTTCTTGTTGGAAACTATTAAAAGGAGGACTCCGTAAATAAGGAAGAAAAAAAGACAAAAGAAAACTCATACACTTCAAATTAGCCCCGGGCAAAAAAACCGGAACCGAAAACTCGAACCGGAACCGAACCAAAATACCCGAAACTTAAATCGGATCAAAATTCTTAAATATCCGAATGGTTCCTATATTTTTATACCCGAAAAACCGAACCGGAATCGGAACCGAACCGAGAAACGAGCAGGTACCCGAATATCCGAAAACAAGTTAAAGTTTTTTAATATAAGATAAAATAACATCAAGCCCACTTAAACGCAAATTGGATGCAAAGAGTAAATACATTTTTACCACCCGACCAAATTATGTTTTATTTATTCTCTTATATTATAAATATATATAGTATTTCTATATTAAAACGGAATCGAACCAAAACCGAACCAAAATCTCATAAATATCTATTGGGTATAAGAATGATTTATCCGATAAATCCGGAACTGAACCGAATATCCGAATGCCCAGACCTACTTAAAGTTGAACGAATTTGAGCCAAGTTTGATTAATTAACAGGTAATGAGCAGAGCCGTGCGCAGGTTTATTAATGCCATAAATAAATTATATTTATAGTTTTTACTAAATTGCTCTGCAGTTAAATAACAAAAAATTAGTTCTTTTTGTGAAACAAAATTTAATATAATACCAAACTTTTATTATTTTATACCTAATGTATACAATATATGTAATTTTAAAATAAAAAGGTAACTTCTAAATATTGACTTTAATATAAATAATGTATTTCTATACAAATCTTATTTAAAAAATAATAATCTATATTATAATGATTGAGTTTAAAGGCTCCTTAAGATGTCCACGTTTGCAGATTGTAGGTCCCACATTTTTATATTAAAATATATAGTATTTTTAAAATAATTACAAACAAAGAATATCAGTTTAGCCAAGTGGTCTAAGACCCCATGTTTGGTCTCCAAGGACATGGGTTCAATTCCCACTGCTCTCATGCATAAACTAATTAATGTCATCATCATAAAAATATTTTTTAAAAACACATAGTCTTGGTAAGATGATCACAAACAATGAAATACACTTTAGCCAAGTGGTATAAGGTGTCTAATTAAGTATTCAAGATTGTGGGTTTAAACCACACAGCTATCATGTATTTTTGATTTTTTTATTTAGGTTATTATCATATAGACTTTTTGTTTTAAAGATCAAAATAGTTGTATAAACCCTAAACCTTAATAAGTTCAAACCCAAAATAAAAATGAATCCAAAACGAATAATAAAACAAAAAACAAAAAAAAAACAAGTCTCACGTGGTTGCCTACGCGGATGGTTTAAAGAACCTTAAAACTATCCTATTATAATATAGCTCAACTCAAAAATAATAAAAAATAAATCCAAAACGAACAAACAAAAAAAAACAAAAAAAAATGGAATTCCACGTGGGTGCATACGTGGATGGCTTAATGAGGGTTGAATAATATAGATTAGGAGCTCAAAAAGTTAAATCATTGCACATATTTCCTAATATATATTTTCAAAAAT